CTCGGGCATCTCTTTCGGATGCCTCCTGGGCGCCTTCCTAGGGAGGTGTTCCGGGCATGTCCCACCGGGAGGAGGCCCCGGGGAAGACCCAGGACACGCTGGAGGGACTATGTCTCTCGGCTGGCCTGGGAACGCCGCGGCATTCCCCCGGAGGAGCTGGAGGAAGTGTCTGGAGAGAGGGAGGTCTGGGCATCTTTGCTTAGACTGCTGCCCTCGCGACCCGGCCCCGGATAAGCGGAAGAAAATGGATGGATGGATGGAGATATTTAAAGATGTTTTCACTGAACGTGGTAATATACAGATCTCATTTGGTTCTTGAAAAGATTTTGTAAACAATAATTGCTTGAATAATTGTGATCCTGGAAGGATTAATCCTACAGACTTTCCCTGAGTGCTACCCTCAGGTCAGATTCTCAACTTTGAACTGAACACATCTCAGAACACACAGATTACTATACATTTCAGTCATGTTTACTGAGCAAAATGGTGCCATTCTGTGAGACAGAAAATACTTCAGTGCTTTTGTTTTCTGGTTGCCTTCCGACATACAGTACTGTACAGAAGTTTGAGGCAGTAAAAGTAAAGTGAGGATGCTTTCAAAATTGTTTGTATTTATCAATTAACCTTATGTAGTGTGCAGTAAACAGAAAAAAGTCAAATTAATGTTAAGTTAAAACTGCTCATTTCAAACTGTTCAACAGTTCTTCAAAGTATACTTGCAGACAGTTTTTCAAAGGTACTTGGCAGCCAGGTTGTTCCAAGCATATTGAACACTAGCCACAGTTCTTCTGTGGGTTTAAGCTGTCTCGATCTCTTCATGTAATTCCATACTGACTCCATGATGTGTTGATCAGGGTTATGGCCTTACCCTTGGTCACAGGACTCCTCATTCTTCTTGTCCCTGAACATAGTCCTTTAGGACTGGCTGTATGTTTGACTCGTCACTCTGCAGAACTAATTTGACCAATCAGACCTCTGTCTGATGGTATTGATGATAAATAGAAAGACCTAAACACCTGAAGTGCCTAAAATGTATACACAGTACTGTACCTTTGTCATATAATCACCTTTATGTTCATTATTGTGTTATGCATCCTTACACAACAGTGAATTTATTATAATGACCTCCAGTATCACCCTTTGGCCAAAGAGCTAAGGAACAATGCTTAGAAAACCTCAACACTTTGTCACTTTAATGTAATATCCATTATTTTAGTTCAAACAATGCGCTTGAGTACAGAGCCTGGAAAACAAAAAAAAATGGTTTAACAGTCCAAATACTTGCATCCTAAACTTCCTGTACATTTCTACACATTCCATTTCCCTCCTTTAATTTTATTTTTCCCTATTTATTTTTTTCATAGATAGGACATGTAATTTATTAGTGCAGGGCTCTTAAATGACAGACTGTATTATTACTGTATATGTTAACATCAGCACATACTGTCATATTCTTTCAGGGTGTGTCTGAGACAAACAGCAGGATGGGTGTCATACCAGCCAACACTCAGCTGCAGATAGCGCTTTCAGTGAGACCTGCTACAGAGGCCCAGAAGGCTCATGTTGAGCTCTGCATTTCAACACCAAATGGTAGTTTATTTTTACTCTTGAGCTGAGAATTTCAAGCATATGGAGGACTGAGAAATACTTATAGATCCCTGAATCTTTCCCTTATCCTCTCCAGAAACCATTATCCGTGCAGTGCTCATCTTTGCAGAAGGGATATTTGAGGGTGAGAGCCATGTTGTTCACCCCAGTTCCCAGAACTTGTCAGGTTGTGTTCGGGTCCCCATCGTCCCTCCAAAAGATATACCAGTAGATCTACACATAAAGGCCTTTGTTGGAGGCAAAACTAGGTAGGATGTGTGGATGTGTAATGCAATCAACACCTCTATTTGGTTTTCTGTTCCTTCCCATGTCTAATCTGCTCTTCACTCATTGTGTTCACTTCAGCACCCAGTTCCATGTGTTTGAAATCACCCGTCAACTGCCTCGTTTTTCCATGTATGACATCACAGTTGACTCCTCAGCTGCTCCGCCCAGTGGAAAGGTCACCTTCAGCATTAACGACCGACCACAACGGGTAGACTGCCAGTGTATCTCTCTGGGAGACAGAACAATAGCAGAAGTTATTATGACAGCATGTTCAAGGCAATGCTGTGCTGAAATATAGTTGTTAAATTGGATGTCATCCCTCTGGATCTAGGTCTGTAATTGTTTACATGCATGCGTGTGCAGGTGGTGATGTGGCTGAATCAGAACTTCCTGCTTCCAGAGGGGGTGAGCAGTCCTGATGTGTCTTTTACTTCACTCAGAGGAAGGGGAATGTTGTCAATCAGCATGGCCAGCAATGGACAGGTACAAACAGACACACACAACAATAACTGGTTTTTACCTTAACAATTTAGAATTACTAGTTGTTTGATGTTACACACAGGCTGGTTTTGTAAACTTTTTCTGCCAGTTTTACATTAACAAGACGGTGAAATTCAATCAAGTTCCTGAGCTTTGTGGCTCAAAAAATTTTAACAATATCACAGACAAAAATATACTTATTGATTTTCACACTTTAACTTTCACATTTTCAGTAAGTCCATTATAGACAAAAATCTGATTGGTTAGAAAGAGTGAATTTAATTCATCATGCTGTGTAGCTGAAGATAAATTCATACCTCACACAGCACCAAACTTGTCTTGCATCAACTTGTCTAGTAGCCAAGTAGTTACAATTTAAATATGTATAGTAACTATGAGGATAAAGTACATTTATAGGGTTACACTCATTTTTGCATTATCTGTAGCTAAATGGCTATTACATTGATTTTAACCTCAATCAAAGGTTTAAGGATAAAGACTTTTTGTTATAAAAGGGAAATTTGTCATTTCTACTATACCTCAAGCATAAACAAATTTAATTTGCACAAAGTTGTACAGAAGACCTTTGACATTTCCTATTGAGTCAAATAAAATCAGCCAGTAATTAATTCATTCCTAATTTGTCCAATCAGATCACTCTGAGAACTGATGACATTGACCTGGCAGGAGATCTGGTCCAATCACTGGCCATCTTCCTGGCTATCGAGGACCTTTCAGCAGAAGCAGACTTCCCAGGATACTTTGAAGAGCTCCGCACTACACTCACAGAGGTCAGAATTTATTCCAGTTGAAATCTGCTCTGTTATAGACATTTTATGCTGCTAGTTCCACTGAAACTCCCACACACCAGATTATCTGCACCTCGATATCTAATGTATACGGTGAGCATTAGGATGACAACAGAGCAGTCAAGGAGGCACATCAGAAATGACATCTTTATTCGTGAATACATAGTGAATCTAGTTTGTTTTACATGCAAAAGAAGACTTAGGAGAGAATAGTCACTGATTTCACAACTTAAATCAGTCAGGTAGCCTAACAAACTATTTCCTGGCAAAGAAACAAGTCACTGGAGACACCAATAGTTTTATTTTGCACTAATGTTTGTTGTGGCACTAAGAAGTACAGCTACCCAGGGTCCATGGTTTGTTCTTTTGTGATCAGGGGTTACATCCCACATCTGCTGGAACAGCTGTAAAGCTGTAGTTCTCCACAAAATTAATAGGATGATTGGCAATCCTTCTGATAGCTGAAATATATCATTTAATGATTACTGATCTAGTGCTTGCTGACGCATTTATGAAATAAAATAGTCACATTTTTGCTTGGTTATCAGGCATGTGCTTACAAATAGTTGTGATTACATCAACTCCTATGCAAGGTGAAGAGTCTCTACTTGGTCCACAAACTCTGAGTCTGTCATGAATAAATCCCAGCCATGTTAGTTTCTGCAGTATGTTAGCAGCACAGTATTGATTGATGTTTGCATGACAGGTGGATGAGTTACACTCTGTGCATCAGAAGTTAACTGCATCCATGGCCGACCACTCCAACTACATCAGAAACATGCTGGTGCAAGCAGAGGATGCTCGCCTCATGGGTGACATGTGAGTTTGTAAAACTGGTCTCATTTATGATCCTTGCATGTGAAATGCATGCAGCATGTGCCTTGACCTCTCTGTTAAAGAGCATTTTCAACAGACATACTGACATGTCATTATGTAATTATTCACATTTATGATGGCTGCTTCCCATTTAGACCAGCCACCTCCTGGTGCTGCTGTGGAAGTTTGTTTAAAGGATTACAGGGACATCTCATGGAAGAGGTCATCAATAATATTGTTAGTACTGGCTGTGCTTTTTGCTATGATAATTTAAAATGTCTGCTATGAAAACAGGCCTGCTGATCAGAAAAACACTTCAGTGATACCCGAATGAAAGAGTGATTTGATTTATTCATTCAAGCATGTAAAACAGTTTATATGTCAACACATGTAATTTCACACATATCCAACAATAATAATCCAATATCAATTTACTTATACCTAGTACATGCTTGAACGGAGTAGGAAGAAGTTAGACTTATCTAGTCCTACCCCATGACATCATCTTGCAAACATTCTTACCCCACACCCACAATGT